CACATGCACCAAAACCCATGTTAACTTGGAAATCAAACTGCCCACTTCCAAGGGCTCCCTTTGAATTCCCCAGTCAACGCGGCAACTGTCCTATTGCTGGCGCTGCGGCGTTTCTCGCGCGCGCGCGCCGCCGCGCGCGCGGCGGCGCAGGAACGCGCGAGAAGTTTTGCGCGCGCTGTTGCAGAAGACATGCACCAGAAACCATGTTAACTTGGAAATCCAAGTGGCAACCGCTAAGGGTTCACTTTGATTTCCCAGGCCAACATGGCGACTCTTCTATTGCCGATAACGCGAAGCTCCGCACGCGCACACGCCGCCGCGCGCGCGGCGGCGCAGGCGCGCGCGAGGAGTGTTTGTCTGCGCTGTGTAGAACACATGCACCAAAACCCATGTTAACTTCGAAATCCAATCGGCAACCACTAAGGGTTCACTTTGATTTCCCAGGCCAACATGGCAACTTTTCTATTGCTGATAACGCGGGGCGCCCCACGCGCACGCGCCGCCGCGCGCGCGGCGGCGCCGCCGCGCGCGCGGCGGCGCGGGCGCGCGCGAGGGGTTGTTGTATACGCCGTTGCAAGACACGTACACCAGAACCCATGTTGACTTGGAAATCCAATCGGCAACCGCTAGTGGTCCACTTTGATTCTCCAGGCCAACATGGCGCTTCTTCTACTGCTGATAACACTGAGCGCCCCACGCCCCTGCGCCGCCGCGCGCGCGGCGGCGCCGCCGCGCGCGCGGCGGCGCAGGCGCGCGCGAGAAGTGGTTGCATGCGCCGTTGCTGAACACATGCGCCAGAGCCCATGCTAACTTGGAAATCTGACTGGCGACGCTGAAGGTTCACTTTGATTTTCCAAGCCAACATGGCGACTCTCCTATTGCTGACAACGCTGGCCTCTTAACTCGCTTTCGGCAGCGCAGACGCGCATGTCAAGTTTTGCGTGGCCCTCGGTAGGACGCACGCACACACGCACACACGCACGCACGCACGCGCGCGCATACCCCGCTCTGATACCCAACAACCGCCAAACTCTCTCCTAGGAACATGCGAGGGCGATTCCTTTCGCGCCACCATCATCCAGGAGGACGCGGTTGCGGATGGCCGCACCTTGACAGGTGACCGAAGAGCATGGAGGGTCCTGCCCGCGCCGCGGATGCGCGAGCCCTGCGGCCTACCCCATGGGCCTTAGCATAGGACCGACATCAGCGCTACGTCCTGAACGTCATCCGCACATCCAACCTCTCAGCCCTGCCGCAGCCCAGGAAGCTGCGCGTGGCTTCCTGCAGCCGCGCGCCCTACTCTCCGAAACCTGAAGCCCACTAGCGCCAAGTTCTCCCCTAGGAACATGCGAGGGTGATTGCACTCACGCCGCCATCATCAAGGGGCACGCGGTTGCTGGAGGCCGCACCATGACATCGAAACCGAAGAACATGGAGGGTCCTGCCCGTGCCGCGGACGCGCGAGCCCTGCGGCCTACGTGCGGACGCAGCATCAATCAAGCCTGCGTCCGCACGCCCTAAGCCCCGCAGCCCGAAGCCCACCAACGCCAAACAGTCCCCTAAGAACATGCGAGGGTGATTGCAATCGCACCACCATCATGAAGGGGCACGCGGTTGCTGAAGGCCGCACCGTGACTTCGGGACCGAAGAACATGGAGGGTCCCGCCCCCGCCGCGGACGCTCGTAGCCGAATCGTGAGCCCCGAACCCCAGCTTTGTCAGAACGAAGGAATAATGGCGCCAAACTGAAGAACATCGAGGATACCCCCCCCCCCCCCCCCCCCAGGGTGCACAAGAACATGTAACAAAAACAAAGAACATAAGGGTACCCTCCCCGAACCACCGAAGTTCTTAAGCCTTGTGCCGGCCGTGTCTTCAAAATGGAAGCGGCCACCGTTACAGGATCACTTGGGCTTCCAAGCCAACATTGCGAGTTCTCGAATGTGGACAAATGAAAACTCCCAACGCGCGCGCTCGTCGCGCCCCTCGCGCATACAAAGAACAAAAAAGGGAGCGCCAAGGCCCGCGGCGCGCGCGGCAGAGCCGCGGCGCGCGCGGCAGAGCCGCCGCGCGGCGTCCCTGCCGTCTTTTGCGTGAAAAATGCATTTCGGGGGCAGCAAGAGCCGAGGCGCGGCCGGCTCTCGGGGGCCCCCGACCGCTGCGCGCGCGGCGGCCCTGCCTACATTCTGCGCGGGGAAATGCAACTCGGGAGCACTAGCGGCCCTGCCGTTTTGGGTGCACTCAACGGCGGCACTGCCCTCTTCTGCGTGGAAAATTACAATTCGGGCGCCTCTGGAGCCGGCCTTCTTCTTCGCGGGGAAATACGAATCGGAAACGCCGAAGGCTGCCGCGCGCGCGGCGGCTCTTGGGCCCCCCCCCGCAGAGCGCGCGCGGCGGCCTTGCCGTCTCCTGCGTGGAAAAAGCACTTGGGTAGCACCAGGAGCTGCCGCGGCGGCTCTTGGGGCCCCCAGCCGCCGCGCGCGCGGCGGCCCTGCCTTCTTCTCCGAAGGAGCAGAATAAAAATCTGGAGCACAAAAAAGCGCGGTCCCGCGCGTGGAAAAAATACAACTCGGGAGCACCAAGAGCCGCCGCGCGCGCGGCGGCCCTGCCCTCTTCCGCGTTGGGACATACCACTCGGGAGCACCATCAAGAGCCGCGGCGCGCGCGGCGGCTCTGACTTGAGAATTACTATTCGGAAATATCAGGGCCGCCGCGCGCGCGGCGGCTCCCTGCTCTCTCCTGCGTGAAGATACTATCCGGGAGCACGAACAGCCGCCGCGCGTGGGGGGGGCCCAGCCGCCGCCGGCGGCCCTGCCATCTCGTGCATGGAGAAATACAAATCGGGAGCACCAAGAGCCTCCGCGCGCGCGGCGGCCCTGGTCTGTTTTGTGTAGGACATGAAGCCGCACCATGCGCGAGGGGCAAAGCCGCCGCGCGAGGGGCAGTGCCGCCGCCGCGCGCGCGGCGGCTCTGAGCGCTCCCAAATTGTATTTCCTTACGCAGAGGAGGGCCGCGGCGGGCCCTCCTCTGCATAAGGAAATACAATTTGGCCCCAGGTCAAGAGCCCTGCCAAAAGGTCCCCAGGAGGACACTTTAATCGATATCCCAGAAGTTGTCATTACCGCCTTTTCGGCTCCCCGACGCTCCAAAACGACCCAAGAGGCCCCAAATATCGCCCCAAGACAGCCCAAGAGGACTCCAAGACGGCCCAAGAGCGCCCCAAGACGGCCCAAGGGGCTTCCAATGCGGCCCAAGAGGCCTCCAAGACAGCTCCAAGAGGGGGCCCCGACGAGGGGCCCGAACGTACATTTCGAGCCCTGAGCCCCAAGGGGCCCCCAGGAAGTCCAAGAGACCCCCGAGAGGCCCGCAAGAGGCCCCAAGGGGCCCCAAGAGGCCCCCAGGAAGCCCCCGAGACGCTCTCGAGAGACCGCAAGACTGCCTCGAGAGACCTCAGGAGGACTCAGGAGTGCCTCCAACATGCCCTCGAGAGGCCTCCCACGATTTCCCAACGAACATCCAGGCGCGGTGGCGGACTTGCCGTAGGCAACTGGCATAATTCCGTTGTGACCGACGATGGCGCCGAAAGGGGGCCCACAAGACCGCCCAAAGAACGGCCCAAAAAAGGCCCCGATACAAATTTCGGCAGGGCCCGATGGGGAACGACCCCCTTCGTTGACGACACCCCATTTCATGTCGTCGGTCTCGGGGGACTATTCCTCCCCCTTTCCAGCATTCCTCCTCCTGTTCGTCCTCGCCCCCCGCCCCACTCGATCAGTTCGCGAAGTCAGACGCTCCCGCATCACTGCTTCGGCCGAATGCTGCCGCGCATTTCTGGCGGGGGCAAGAGCAGTTGCAGCACCAGGAGCGGCTCACGGCCCAGAAGCGTAAGTCCAACACCCGCGGGGAGGAAGGGGCGCCAGGCCAGGGGGAGAGCCCTGCCCAAGCGGCCGCGGCCGCGGAGGCCCCGGGTGGACGCCGGCGTGTCGCGTCTTTCTGGGTGGGCCATCCCGTCCGCAGGGGTGCGACACACTGGCGCCCACTCAGGGGCCACCCCAGAGACGAAAGGGCTCGACACGCCGGCGTCCACCTAGATAGGTGCGACAAGGGGGGGAGGGGGGAGGGGGGTGCGACATGCGCGTGTCCGCCCGGCGCCCACCCACCCGCAAGAACGCGACATGCGCGAAGGCCGGGCCGCGGGGTGGCGCACTAAAAAAGGCACCAAGGCGTTGCACCGAGAATCGAACGGGCCCAGGGGTGGAACCCTAGCTTTCCAAGCCGAATCCAACCGTGGACGCGCTGCGCCACCCAACCGAAACATATAACGAACCAGCGAGCCCGTGCGCTGGGCAACTCCTCGCACGCACTACTCCTCCCTCTTTCCGCTCGTGCTCCTCCGACCCCCCTCGCTGACGACCCCCGCGGGCATCGGGGGTAGCTTATGTCGAATGTTTCGCGCTCCTGCGTCGGGGGGGCCCATCGGAAAGCGGCCTCGTGGATTTCCACGCGGGGCCCCGAACTCTTCGGGGTGAACGTCGAAGTGGGAGAAGGGAGGGAGGGCGAGGGAGGAACGAGGGGCGAAAGATGAGGGAGGTAGGGTAAGGAGAAAGAGGGGGCACGAGGAAGAAGATGACGAGGAGGAGGCGGAGGAGGGGGCGGAGGAGCACGAGGAAGGGCAGGAGGAGCACGATGGGCGACATGGGAAGAGGAGGGGGCAGAGAAAGAGGGTCGGGGAGATACGAGGGATGAGGAAGACGAAGAAGGAACAATTGAAGGTGAATGGGGGGGGGAGGAGGAGAAGGAGAAGGAGGAGGAGAAGGATAAGTAGAGGAGTAGGACAGGGAGGAGGGTAAGTAGAGGATTTTGGGCCCCCTTCTTCGACGACGACGACGGCGGCGTCAGCGACGGCGGTGGAGGCGGCGGTGACCACCGCCGCCGGGGGAACGACGACGACGACGAAGCAGGGCGGGGCCGCGGTGGCCCCTTTAATGCCCAAGGCGCATCCTGCACCCTCGATGAGATGGCGTCGCAAGCTCGCTGTCCCCCCAGCTCCTCGACTGCCAGGACGACGTACAACCTGCCAGTGGGGTGGGAGGCGAAGCACTTGGGGAATTCCCCGGGGGCCCCCACGAAAAGGGGCCACCGCTTCCTGAAGGAAGGGGGCCGCCTTGCTCCCACCAAGCATGCCCAAATGGATCCAAGCCGCTTGGGTCCATTTGGCCCTCGATTCAGAAACTTCGAAGCGCCCGAAGACTAAATCGGCCCTTGGATCCAAGCTCCCGAAGACTATTTAGTCTTCGGCCGCTTGGATCCAAGCGCCCGAAGACTAAATCGGCCCTCGATTCAGAAACTTCGACCATCAAAAAGAACCCGTGGCCCCCCTGGCGGCGAGCCCTGCTGGGCCGGGAAGGGCCGCCGCCAGGAGTCCTGGCGCGCTCCAGTGGGCCAACGCAAACAAACGCCCTGCCCGCCATTGTTCCCCCTGAGGGCCGGGGGCGGCTGCACGTGATCCACGGTTTGCTGTTCAACCTCAACACGCAGTGGCCGCTGAAATGGGTGGTGCCACAGCGCCGCTTCACATTCAGCATCTCGCCGAGAAAATTCTGCAGGGGCGTGCGGGCCAGGTCTTGGAACTGCGAGTGGAAACCTTCAACCTGTTCCAGAATTAAGCACTTCGGCAAGATCGCCCGGGCCACTGCCAGCACCGAGTCGTCCTCGGCGAAAGTCGAGCCGAACAAATTATGGTCCGTGCATCGACTGGTCGACCTGACCCGCGTGAAAGGCTGGCAGGGTGTGCAACACACGAACATGTCCACGTGGAGCGGCGGCGGCAGGCTGCAAGAATGCGCATTGGGGTGGCGGCGACATGGGCGGGACGAAGCCATATCGCCCATGGTATTCCAGTAGCAGCCCATGACCTTGTCCGAGTATTGGGTTGCACGGAGGAACTCGTAGCTCGCTGTTTTCATATCGGCCATCCCCACGCTCTCGGCTGCGATGTGGATGCCGAGCGCCTGGCGGGCTTGCCAGCGCACGCACAAGGCGGCCCCCAAACAGAAAATGGAGGCCACAGGGGCGACTGAGCCCCGCGGAGGCCGGGGCACCCGAAACCAATAGGGCCGAGGGCCACTGAAAACAAAAATGGGGCCAATGGGTCGGCAACTGGGGCCGCCGCGGCCTGCTAAGGTAGGTGGTCTAGGTTTGTGGGGCGACTGAGGCCGCGCGGGCCAATGGAGGGGCGGGGCCACCCAAACCAACGGTTTCGGAGCTGGGTTGGCCGCTGGCGCCGCGCTCCGGCCCTCGACCCCACTTAGCCACTTAGCCCAAGCTGCCTGCGCACAAAACCCCTCGGACCAGCACCCAGTGCAAGCTGACCACAGGCGAAGGGGGCGCTGTTGTTGGCCGCGGTCTCGAAGATCCCCAGCAAAGTAATCCCGAACAAATTTGCTCCACCAAGCGGCCCCCGAATCCGCTTCAGACGGGCAGGGCGCTGTGTTGGGCCCCCCCTCGCCAGGCGCTGGTACGTCATCTGCGCTCTCGTCATCGCGGCCATCCGCACCTTCGACGTCGCCATCGCTGGCCCACCCGCCGTCGCCATCGCTGGCCCACCCGTCGTCCGAAGACGGCATGGCAGAACCACAGCCAGGGCGCTGCGGTTCAAAGAATTGACTTGGGCCAGGGCACGCTGAAACGGAAGGCCCGCTGGGGAACCCACCCTTACCCTGGAGGGTTCCAGACATCCGCCGCTGCGCCAACACGTTCAGGCGTGGTCGAATGCCAAAGGGTCCCCGGGCATGGTTCCAAAACGGCTAGGGTGGTCTCGGGACGGCCCAAAAGGCTTTCCAGACAACCCAAACGGCACTAAGAAGACCTCGAGCACGGCCCGAAGATGCCTGAATCATTGGATTCCCTCCGGTGTTTGGAAGATGTTCGCATTCTAACATTTTCGAGTTTCCGACTGCTCTTGGTGGTCAAAAAAGCCTCACAAATGGCGCAAAAGGGCCCGCGAGGGCCCGAAGAATTCCTCTGGACGGGGCAAGAGACCAAAGACGGGCAAAGAATGCCCGAAGTCGGCCCAGAAGGGCCTTCAGACAGCCCTCGGGGTCCTCCAAGAGCCCCTCCAAGACGGATCCCAAGACGCGCACAGACGACCCAAGAGCGCCCGCAGACGGCCCAAGACTTCCCCTGCCTGGGTCAGGGGCCCTTCCCCCGCGATGGTTTGCAGCGGCCCAAAGGCCCAATATGGGCCCAAATCGGGTTCTGATTGCCCAACATGTCGTCCCAGATCGCACGAAATGTCTTGGCATGGTCAAGCATACTCACCACCCTGCCCCCGCGAAGCACCAAGACCGCTCCATCGAGGCTCCAAGTGTTCGCCACGTTGTTTGCCTTCTGACCTTTTGGTTTCCGTTGGGATCTGGCTACGACATGGCAGCATAGGCCCCATGATGATCCGAATGCTACCCAAAGTGCGCCCACGAGCGTCCCAAGAGCGTCCCATAAGAGCCCCGAGGGACGATTTCGAAGGCCCCGGCGGGGGGGGAATCCAGAACCCCACCGTGATCGACCGATGGCCTCCAAGATGGCCCCATCAAGAGCGCCCATGACCCAATGCCTCCAAGAGGGCCGCAAGAGAGCCCCGGAGACCCCCAGAGGGCCGAGAGGTCTCCGAAATGGCCCCAAGAGGGGCCCAATACGGCTGCAAAAAGCATCGAAGACGCCCCCGAGCGAAAAAACAGCAACGGCATTGGCGGTTGACTGCTGTCGCTGTCGTCGTCGTCGCCGCCACCGTCGTTGTTATTGTCTTCTGTTTATTCTTCGTCGTGTCCATTTCACTCCCCCGTCCTCCCCCTTCCGGCTCCTCTTCCTTCTCCTCCTCCCCCTCCTCCACCTCGCCCCCCCCCTCCCCCATCCTGCCTCCTTCGTTATTCCGGCATCTCCTCCTTCTCCTCCTGTCCCTCCTCCACCTCCTCCTCCCCCTCCCCCTCCTGCCTCCTTCGTTATTCCGGCACCTCTTCCGTTTTCCTCCTCCGCCCCCTCCCCTCCCCCTTTCCAGAGGTAACGGGCGCCTCCGTTTTCACGGCATGGCATGATGACCCACTTCAGCTCACTTGGGGATTGTCTGACCCACTTCAGCTCTTCCCCTCCTCCTCCTCCTTTCCTCCTCCCTTCCTCCTCCTCACTCCTGAAGCAAAAATGTTAGCTCCAGGAATTCCTCCTCCTCCTCCTTTTTTCGTCGTCGTCCTCGTCCTCGCCCTCCTCCTCCTCCTCCTCCTCCCCCTCCTCCCTCCCCCCTCTTCCACTGCACCCGCCAACATATCCTCTTCCTCCTCGCCCTCCTCCGGGCCCGACTCTCTGCCCTTCCGACACCGGATTACCGCGGGGAAGGCGAATGTGAGGGGCAATGACCCACGCGGGAAGACTTTGCAGTTTTGCACCCCTGACCGCCACAAGGGAATACCAGGCGGTCGGAGGGCGAGGGACAAAGGCGAGGCGGTGGAGGGGGAGGCTAGCGGTTGGAATGAGGAGTCAAACTTGAAAGGCTTCAATATTTCATCACACATTTCAGGGGCAAGCCCGGGGCTCCCCTGTATCCAACTCGTCAGCGCCACGAGGGGCGCGTTCCTTACCAAACGCCTCAGCAAGGCCCGGCTGCCCCATGGCATCCCGTCGCGCGCGCACCCGGTCCCCGTAAGGCGCGTCTGTAAGAACCTCTCTGTGCGCTGCCACGCTCCCTGGGCAGCGCTCTAAAAAAAAAGCTAGTAAGCCCATTGGCCTCCCCTGGGCGAGCGTGGATGGCGATTTCGCGTTCTCTCTGGCATAAAACTTCCTATCCACTTTCGCCGAGCATATGCTGCAGTGGGCGTCAAGGCTACGACCCGAATTATTGATGGTGATCCAGCCTACGCCGAGCCTGAACCAGTTGTTCCGGCCACGCTTGCCACGGGGTGCAGCCGCGGCTGGAACTGGTGGAACTGCCAGAGCTGGGGCGGCCGCCTCTGGGGCCTCTGGGGCCACCGGCGCCGCTGGCAAGGGTGGCTGCTCTGGCGGCGGAAGAGGCGGCTGTGGCTCTGGCGCCGCCTCGTCGCTACACTCGGGCGACGACGCCCAGTGGTCGTCTCCACTGCGGGAAACTTCACTGCGCGCATCAATGGACGCAGGAGGTGATTCCCAACCTCCCTCAGCATCGGCGCCCCCATCGTCATGGAGTGCCTCAGCACGCTCCGCATCTGCGGACAGCTGGAGCTGCCATGCGGGACAAGCATCCTCAACACCAGGGTCGCCAAACATCACATCTTCGTCTCCGCCCGCGCCCACGACTGCTTGGCCCCCGGCAGGGCCAGCATCGTCGTGGAGAGGTGGCGGCGCATGGCCTTCAGGATCTGCGGCTGGGCCAAGGCCTCCGCGGTCGCCCCGCCCCCCCGCCCCGAGATTACATTGACGTGTCCCCGCCAAAGTCCTTCATCCGAATCGTGCTGCCCCCCGTGGGAGGGGGTGGTTGGCCTCTGTTCCTACCCCCCACACCCCGTTCGACTAGCCGCAAAGCAATGCTAATGCGAACGCCTGGCCGCCATCCCTACCAAAGAACAAAACCAATCCGCTTTGCGCCAAAATCTGGTTGAACCTCGGGCGGCCCGCGACCACCTCGCATTGTCTGCTCGTGCAACCAGCGATTTGGACCAATGGACTTTGGTCAGAGTGAAGGGGCCGACCGGTCTTGCGTTGTCCCTGGGTGCGTGGCTGGAGTGGGGATCCGCGGGTAAGGTTATGTTTGTTGTTGGGGCCGAGCCCCGAACCATTCCGGGGCCCTCGCGGGTCGCGAGGCGGGTGGGTCGCGGGCGGATGGCAGGCGCCGCGCCCACCCGCCCGCGCCCGCACTCTTATCCGCAATTGCGGGGTGCTCCGTGCGATTTATCCCTCCCGCCTCAGCCCGCGGGAACCGCAAGATTCCGCACCAGCTGAAAAGGAAATCGCCATAGAGATCACCCGGGCAAAAAAACACGCGCAGGTGGGCCCCACTGGGCAGCAATGCGGACGCAGCCGCCAGGGCCTTCGATGGAGGGCCCTCCAAGGCCAAGAAAGCGCGAGGAATGTGCCGACATGGGGCGGGACAGCACGCGACCGCAGCCACTGTGGAGCTGTCGGCGGAGCTCCCTTTTAAACCACAAAACGCTTGGGGTGCGTGCCGAAAGCCGCAGGGGCCTTCGGTGGAGCTCCCTATGGCACTATGGGGCCAATGCTGACGATGCCGATGCTGATGGCGATGGCTGGGGGAGGGGCGGGAGGACAAGGAGACGCCGGGCGCTGCGGATTCAAAGCGAAGAGCGAAGACCCGACACCACAGGACGGCTGGGGAAAAAACGGTGCAATCGAAAAACTCGACTGCGGGTTGGTAGATACCGGACTCGGCGCCTGGCTCCCCAGCGTCGCCTGCGCCCGCGTCTGGGCCAGGGCCTCCGGGGCAAGGAGCGCCGCCGTCGCCACCTGCCTGAAGGTGCACACCACGCCAAAACACTTTTGCCTGCGTCAGGCGGCGAACCTCCACGTCCGCCGGGCGAAAATTGCCAACCTGGCGGGCCTCCGAACTCACTATGTGGTGCAGAGAGAAGGAATATCGCTTCTTGAAATCGTAAGATCTGAATGCGCAATAGGCGCTGGCGACGCCGAGGAAATCCCAGACGGCGGGGTCGTCCAAGTCGAGCTCGGGGTCATCCCACTCGGTGTCGGACGCCAAGTCCTTGCAAGCGACAAGCGCCACGTGGCCCAAAGCCTCGGCGACGGCCCGGATCTCTGGCCTGTCGTCCTCCTCCAAGCGGAGCGTGCCGATGGCCCAAGACTTCTGGTTCACGAAGGCGAGGTGGAACCAGCCGTCGGCCAGCCCGCGGCAAGAAATCCGCCGACGCCTTGGGGTCCCCTTTCTCAAAGCCCTCCCCCGTGAGCCTGGTGCGCTCGATTTGGGGCGGGGCCGGCCGAGCCCGGCCGAACTCACTAGGGGGGGTCCGGCCTTCCCAAGATCCCCTTGGAGCTCCAAGACAGCCTGTGCGGCCTCCCAAGAAACCCCGAAACGCAGAAATATCGTTCCTACGAGGGCTCCAAGACGGCCCCCGAGGGCCCCCAAACCAAAAAACGCCCCCAAGACGGCCCGTGAGGGCCCCAGGACGGCCCCAAGAGGGGGCCCAGAGGGGACACCCGAACGGCAATTTCGAGCCTTCGGCCCGAAACACTCCGAGGTTGCCCCAAGAAGCCCCAAGGGACCCCCAGGGAGCCGCAAGAAGGTGCCCAAGAGGCCCCCAAGCAAGATGTCCCCAAACTGCCTCCAAGACGCCCCCGAGGGGCCTCACGCGAGACCCATCAGCCGTCCTAGTGGCCTCAGACCCACAACCCAGGCACGGTGACGGGATGGGCCAAAGGCCATTCGATAATCATCTTTCTGGTGTTTTGACAGATGCCCGCCGTCTGTGTACGCGAGTTTTCGCCCGTCATGTGCCCATGGCGCACGCCAGGGATGTCGGCCGCGGATGACACAATGAACGCATACATCCATGAAAATCAAAGGGTTGGCGGTGCGGCGAAAGCCTGGGGATCTGCACCACGCCCTCTGCGTTTTCGAGCAACTTCTTCAAAGCGTGGCCCTTGGCGAAGAAAGGCCGAAGCTCCTCCACCAAAGCGGCCACGAAGCGCTCTGAGAAATCAGTTTCCCCGCAAAGGCACCTGCCAGCGTGGCGACACAATGACAATGTCAAACGGCTGCTGGGAACGCGGCCCAACGGCGTGCAGTCCCTGTGGCGGTACATCAAATGCTGTCGAGCCCACTGGTCGCCGAGGGTTTTGTGGTACTTGTCTTTGTTTGGGTTACCGCTGCGATTTCCAGGCTGGCCCGCCTCGCTGAGAACCGCCTTCGCCAACGGGATGGCCGGTGCGTTGAACTCGAAGAGTGGCGTTGCGGCTGGCAGCGGCCGCAAAGGGAGGGGGCGCTGAGCAGGTAGTTGGCCATGCACGGGAAACTCTGAGACTTGTTGCTTAGCCCACTCTTGCAAAGCTTCCAGTTGGTCTGCGCGCGCGGCGCGCATTCTCCGGGAAGCCTGACGGGCCTGGCCTGTTAACTTGGCGAGCACCTTGCGCCATGGCGGCGGTGCGAAGAACGCGAGGGCCCCGTTGCCCGCGACGTGCCCCCCGGCTGGAACCACGGCGCCAGCGCCGGGAGCCTCGTGGGCCCCCGCAGCCGGCGCCGCCGCAGCGGCAGCGCCGCGGGCCTCCAAGAACTCAAGGGCTTGGCGGACGCTGGCAGCGGCAGGCGCAGCGCGGGCGTACACGTTCCCGCTAGGCGTCAAAGCGTGCTCCTCGCAGAAAGCGTCGCCCCGCACCTGCAAAGCCTGCTTTTCCTCTGGGGAGAGGGCGTGGTAGGCCAAGGACAAGCCGGCGAAGACACTTCCGCCAAAATGTCCCTTCCTCTTCCCGTCGCACGTTGCCTCGTGAACAAAGGTTTTCCACATGCCGCCGCCGCGCCCGCGTTGCGGCTCCTGCCCCCGCACGAGCTTTCGCCTTGATCGGGAATGGATGTCAGAAAAAGCCCCGCCGAGCAAGCGTTTGCGGCCGCCGCGTGCACGCGCCGCCAACGCCAAACCCCGCCCTCAACTTCCCATCATAGGTCATAGGGCCCCGGGCACTTTGGCGCCCAGCACGGGACGGGGACAATGCAGTGGGGGGTGCGGCGGCGGATTGTGAAAATTGCCCACAAGCCCAGCGGCTGCCGAAGTGGGCGCTAAGATCCGCCATGATCCGCCACGGGCAACCACCATGATTTCCCCCAACGTCTCCAAAACGTTTCCCGGATTGCCCAAACCCGCGCAATGTTGCCGACGTTGGCCGGCCCTTGATGGCTTTTAATGCCCCTGAATCAACCCCTCAATTTTGCAATCGAATCAAAGAGCTGAATTGGGAAGGAAATTCCAGAGTGTGGCCTTCAATTGAAAACGCGTTTGGATACCATAATAATAATGACAATAACATCCGAATATGAAAAAATAACGGTATCATCTCTCTGTCGCTCTCTCTCTCTCTCTCTCTCTCTCTCTCTCTCTCTCTCTCTCTCTCTCTCTTCTCTCTCTCTCTCTCTCTCTCTCTCTCTCTCTCTCTCTCTCTCTCTCTCTCTCTCTCTCTCTATCTCTCTCTCTCTCTCTCTCTCTCTCTCTCTCTCTCTCTCTCTCTCTCTCTCTCTCTCTCTCTCTCTCTCTCTCTCTCTCTCTCTCTCTCTCTCTCTCTCTCTCTCTCTCTCTCTCTCTCTCTCTCTCTCTCTCTCTCTCTCTCTCTCTCTCTCTCTCTCTATATATCTTTCTCTCTCTCTCTGTATATATGTGAAGAAATTCATACATATATATATATATATATAAATATATATCCATTGGTATGGCGCGCAACTGCACTGCTGCCAAAGGGCGCCCCAGGTCCCAGGGCGGCTCTAACACGCCCGCGGGGCCCTTAGATCACGCCCCAGAACGGCCCCAAGACTGCCCAATATGCTTCCCAAGAGCGGCTCGCCCCCAAAGCCTCCCCGAATCGACCCTCCAGGCTCTTGAAAAGGGGCCCTATCTATCATCGAGAGCGCCTAACTTCGCGCATCGCGCTGCGCGAAGCGCGAACAGCTTCGCGCTTTCGCGCCGCCCCCGAAGGGAGAAAAGGAAACAAGGGGGAGGCGGAACTGAAATGCGAAACGCGAAGCGCGAATAACTTCGCGCCATCGTCGGAGCCTCTGGTCACGGGGGGGCGTCGGTGGCCGACGCACTCTACGGCGGCGGGGGGCCCGAAACGCCCCCGGGAAACCCTGGGCAAAGCACCAGAGCGTAAAATGCCATGAGAGGGCCCCGGAAAAAAATTCAGATGTGTCCTCGAGGCATTCGGATACCCTCGAAAGCCCAACATGGTAATTTTGGAGGGGTTCCCGGGGTGGCTCTGGCGCGTTTGACTGGCGCCCCGTCTTGTTTTCCAATGCCCCCCCGCTGCTTGGCATCCCGTAGCAGCTCGCTCACGAGTCGTTTCTGGATGTCGCAGGCGGCCGCGTGTCGCCACAAACGCTATGACGCGGCAGGTTTAATCGCCCCCACTCTGGCCTGACCTTCTCTTGACAACCTCTGGGCCCTTCGCCCCGCCTCGGCGACTGCGGCGGCCAAGCTTGGCAGGGCGCTTGGCGGCAGACTGGAGGCCTGGTTTCATCTCGAACGTCCTGGCCTTGCACAACGTGAACGCCGCCGAAGCGTGGATGAAGTCCTCAGCCTTGCAGTGCAAGCCTCTGGTGGAACTCTGGCGCAACACATACGCGTGTCCAGTCTCGATGGCGCTGGTTTCTGTCCGGGTTACCTCCGCGATTGACTGGAGCACAGCAACGGCCTCATCGCTGGCAAGCTGCTCAGGGGTGCTCCATGCAAAAAGCACGTCGTGGGAGAAGTCGTCCCGGCAGCACTGCGGCATGGACAAGATCCTGCGCGCCGCGGCCACCCGATCCGACTTGGACAGCATGGAGAAGAGAACGAACGGAAACCCCCTCCGAGGTAACTCGAGGTAGATGAACACGGACGCAACCTGCAAAGTGGTAACTACGCTTCCTTGACTGGGGGCGGCGGCGCAATTGACTCAGTCACCACTCTTTGGTGGCAGCGAATCTTCTGGGCTGGGGCCCAGCCCAGAAGATTCGCTGTCAACCAGCCGCTGGGCAACCAGTCAATTGCGCGCCGGGCGACCCCCCAGCGCGGCCCGGGGGTGGACACCGGGCCGCACTGCCGCCATGCCCCTTTCGCACCCGAACGCCTGGCGCGAGAAGAGTCGAAATGCGAGGGATCTGTTGTAGAAGGTTTTCTCGCTGCGGTGCAAGCGTTTGTGCCAGTATATAGGGTCAGTCAGCGACCGCAGCACGCCGGCAGCCAAGCGCAGCTCATCACGGCGATCGTGAGCTTCAGCGAGGCGGTACGGCCGAGGGGCCACACCCTGGTGGACATGTAGATCGGCTGTCGTTTCCCACCCTTGCCCGGCCATGAAAAGGAATGCGTGCAGCGCCTGGGAAGTGAGGCTAATGGAGCGGAACATGATCATCAATGCTGCTCTGGGATGGCGCGCCGCCCAATTGGACGCGTTGCCGCGCATCCTCGCGTTGAATGCGGCCCAGTCGACAGAGTTGTCCGACGCCATGGCGCCGGCAGCCTGCGCAACCAAGGCGTGGTCCGCAGCGGCGGACGAATCCAAATCCGGAGAGCTGGCATCAGAATCGAAGCATTCGTCCTCCAAAGCAGCAGCGGCACCTCCCCCGCCCTCGCCCTCGCCTTCGTCGTCGCTGTCGTCTGCAGGAAGCCGGGCCGTTCCATTCTCTATCGCCGCAGGGTCCACTCCGTCCGCCCAGAGTGGCACGGCATCCATCAACAAGCTGTGAAGGAGGGCGGCCAAGGCGCAGTCCCGGGTGACCACGTCGGCCCCGGTCCAGCGGTGCCGCGGGAAAAGCCGCAGCAAACAAGGCACAATAGCCATCGGCACGTCGGTCCTCATCGCATGCTTGATCTCCGCCTCTGTCAAAGATCCGTCAGCGTGGTGGGACACAGCTCGCTTGGATATATCACCATTCAAGAAACGATCCAAGACGAGGCGGCGGCGTTGATCCGACAGCGCGCCTCGGCGAAACAAGTGGCCGTCAGGGTCCGCGTAGTCGTCGCGCAGGAGCTCGTCCAACACGGCCTTGCGGTGCACAAATGCGGCGCCCTGCCGGCACAAGGGCCTGTTCCAGAAAACCCGCTAGCCCCTCGCTGGGGCCCCGAGGCGCAGAACCCCGCCCTCCAGCTCCACATCCTCCGCGCGTCCTCCCGCTGTTCCTGCGCCTCGCCCTAACCCCCGCCACCCCCCCTTTCCGTCATGCCCCCGCCCCTCCTACTCCGCCTTCTCCTCCGCATTCTTCTCGCGCCCTTCCCCCCTTGTTCACCCCGTCGTCGTCGCCCCCCATCTCCTCCTCCTCCTCAGCCCTACGGCCTCTCCTTCTCCATTTCGCACTCCCCGCGCTCCCGCTGCCCCCCTTCCTGCCGATTTCAGGCCCCCCCCCATCGGCCCTTTTACGCCATCCCCGCCCCCCGTTGCTTCTCTGACTCCTTGACCTCTGCCGGCCGAGCCGCGCCCTGCTGCGGCGCGGAAGTGGCCTGCCAAGACGCGAAGTTCGAGGCGACAAACGAACTTGTAAAAGCACCTCCGCTCCCTAGGCTGCCGCCCCCCCGCCCCCCTTCCCTGCCCCCCCTCGTATCCCCTGTGGTCCTCCTCTCCCCCTGGACTCCCGCCCCCGAGCCAATCAACCAACAATTCTGGCCAGGGCACTTGCTGGCCACTCATCCAAAGCGGTAGGTGGATCAGCCCAGCAAGCCATGAAAATCCAACCAACCAACCACCCGACCAATCAGAAGCGGAGGTCGGCGGCAGGAAACGAAGCCCCTCACACAACCAGCCTGCGGACCAAAATCGCGCCGATCACAGCGCGCAGCTCCCTCAATTTGCTGGGTCCTCTCTGGCCAATGCCGAGCGCCAAGAGGCCGCTGACATGGTAGCCCACCAGGTCCAAGACCCGCGTCTGACAAGTGGCCAGCCTGTGGATATCACAACCCAGCCCCAGACGCCACCAGCAATTCAACACTGGAGCAGCCCGCTCTTGCCTCCGCATCTCGTTGACCATGCGGTCGTTGGCACCATGGCGGTCCACAGTGTGAGCGAACGTCCGGAATCCAACCAGCCCCTTTAGGCGTGAGCGGTCTACGGAACTCGTTATGTCTAACTCCCTTGTCCCCCTTCGGGAGGGGGCTTCCCCTTCCCTATGCCCTATACCCCCTACCCCTGGGTCTGGTCTGGATGGGGGCGTTCCGAAGGTCCGGTCCCTGGAAGGTCCAAGATGGCCCCGGGTGGTTCCGAGATGGCCCCGGAGAGCTGGAGAGCTGGAGCGCCGAAGATGGCCCCATGTGGCCCCAATAAAGTCCCAGATAACTCAAGATGGGCTCCCAAATCGTTCAAAATATACAGAGATGGCTCAAGACAGCTTCCAACATGGCTCCGAGAGCCATCTTGGCGCACGACCGCCCCGGGACGACCCCAAGTGTACTCTCGGCCCCCCGAGGAAGCCCCCGGGAGGCCCACATCCTTCTGTGGTTTTCAACGTGTTTCCGATGGGCTCGCAAGGCCTCAGGATGGCTCCAATATGGCCCCAAAAAGGTCCCAAGCGGTGGCTAATAGGGGCCCGCGACGGCCCAAGAGCGCCCCAGTTGCGCCCCAAGAGGCGGTTTAGAAGGCTTCGACGGGGGGGCCGAAATCGGCGATTCCCCGACTTTTGATCCATGGCTTCGAAGATGGCCTCAACGGCCCCCCAGGGCCTCCAAGAGGCCAAGAGGGCCCCAAACCCCCAGAACGCCCCAAGAGGGCCCCGCGAGAGCCCAACCAAGGGCCCATGAAGCCTCCAAGAGGCCCCGGGCCAACGCTCCACGGCGCGGAACTGCCGCGGCGAGAGGGGCGAGGAAGAGCAGGAGGGAGGAGCCAGTCGGAATCTTTTGGGGCCTTGCGCCGCTTCTCCGCGGTAAGTAGGTTCCCGCCCAGTCGTCGTCGTCGTCGTCGTCGTCGTCGTCGTCGTCGTCGTCGTCGTCGTCGTCGTCGTCGTCGTCGTCGCCGTCCTCGTCGTCGTCGTTGTCGTCGTCGTCGTCGTCGTCGTCGTCGTCTCCGCCCCACTGGCCCTTTTGGGCGCGAGTGGTCTAAGAAGCTCGCTGTGCCTGACCCCGTTCTTCCCCTTCGGGGAGGGGGTGCCCCATCCCCCTACCCCCTACCCCAGGGTCTGAAAGGGGCGTTCTGCGGGTCGCTGCACCGGCCAAGATAGCCCCATGTGGCTCCAAGACGGCCCCGGAAAGCCCCACATGACCTCCCAAATCGCTCAACAGACCACAAGATGGCCCAATATGGCTTCCAATATGACTCCAAAGGGCACACGAGACCGCTCCAGGACGACCCCAAGTGTACTCCGAGCCCCTGGAGGGGCCCCCAGGAAGCGTAACTCCTTCAAACCACTGTGGTTTTCAATGTTGTTTGCTTTCTCGCCGTTTCGCTTCCGATAAGGTGCTGATGCCCCAGGGTGGCTCCACGATGGACGGCCCCAAGAGGGGCCCAAGACGGGCCCAAGAGCGCCCCAAGAGAGCTCCAAATGCTAATTTGAGGGCTCCGACGGGGGGGCCGAGATCGGCGACTCCACTCCTGACAAATGGCTTCCAACATGGCCCCAAACGACCCCCCGAGGCCCCTGCCCCCAGGCCTCCAAAGGGGGCCCAAAACAACCCCAAGAGCGCCACAAGAGGGCCCCAAGAGAGCGCCAATACGTCTCAAGAGGCTTCCAAGATGGTCCCAGGAGGCCCCACGATGGCCCCAAGAGGCCTTAAGACCCTCCCAAAACGAAAAAAAAAAAAGCACTTGATATTTCCACTTGTCGACGTCGCCGTCGCCGTCGCCGCCGCCGTCGTCGGCATCTCCTTCTTCGTCCCCCATCCCTTCCTCTTCCTCCTTCTCCTCCCCCGCTCCTCTCTCGAACAGACTGCGCAATCGGGCGCGGGCAACTGCCGTGCTGAATTCTGCCGCGAAAGCTTGATCAGGGCAACTCGCCTGATGACAGTGTTTGGATGGTCTGGCGGGGATGCGCAAAGCGCCCAGAACTTGAAGAGCCTGGCGAACTCGTCGTCGTAGCCCGGGATGCGAACCAAGTCCCGGTAGGTCTGCACGAGCACCTCGGCAGTGTGGCGGTCGATGCACTGGAGACGGCACGGGACCGCCCCTTTAACGGTGGTAACGACTCCAGTGCGCCTGTTTCTGGTCACTATGGCTAGAGAAAGCGCTGACTGAAGGACCTTCACTGTCTGCTTATCGGCACTGCCGGCTGGACATGGCGGAGACTCCTCTGGCTGGGCACCGGCGCCGTCATTGCCGACACATACAACATCGCGCAGCCGCAGCGTTGTGGCAGCCTCATCGGTCATTGTGGCGATGCACAAAGACACGGCCTCGATGTCGCCCGCGTCGACCCTCGCCTTGATGTTCTGCGCGAGCGATGCCCAGAGCATGTGCGAGCACAGCACAACGAGCTGGGCTGTCTGCGTGAACTTCTCCGCGTACACCGTGCCGCGGCATTGGCTCTCCATTCCAGCAGCATCTGCTTCGGCCGACCACGAGATCAATCGACTAGTGCGCTGGCCTAGCATTTCGTCAAAAATCCGCACCAAGGCTTTGCCATGTTCTGTCACCGCTTCCAAGCTTGCGCCACCTCCTGCGGCCAACAGGCGAATGCTCCGGTTGACGAGGTCCTGCGAGGTTGCGTCCCAAGCACCTGTGTCCAATATGCCCAAGAGAGCGCGGAACCCGTCGAGGGTGGCCAAGGCTCGGGGCTGCACAGCCCCACTGCGGAGCTTCTCCAAGCGAGCCCGCCGGGCCGCGGCGGCTTGCGCTCGAAGCCTCACCAACCTCGGGAGACGAAGGCCACGCGCCAACACCGATCCTGGGCAGGCCCATCCTGGGCCCAGGGCCAAGCACGCGCGCCACCCTGGCTGTGCCATAGCACCGGGCGCGCCGAACCTGGGTTCAAGATTGGCCCACCCACTGACAGTGTTTGTGCATAATCGTCGCCCTCCGCTAACCTGAGTCGCTCTGCCTCGGCGGTTTCGTCGGCGGTGTCCGCCTCCACGAGGTCCACGACCGGTGCAACTGCCAACGGCTGGGCGCCATCCACCGGCGGCTCCGCTTCTGATAGCCAGCCGCCCGCGGACGACGCGTCCGACATACTTGAGCCGATGCGAATGCGACCGGGCGGAAAAGAATTATGGCGATGTCCTGGGTTGGCAGCGCTGCACCCCCGCGCCCCCCACCCTTGTCCACTGTGCTTGCCGGTGTCCTTGTTTTAGCCATTGTTTTACCGAAGGCGGGAAGAAGCGCAGGTATCTCTTCGCGCCTTTGCGGGGCTCGCCGAGG